TATTTGTTATATACTTAAAGTATGCAGCTGTGCAAGAATTAGATGCGTAAACACTGTCACGAAATTAAATGTGACGTTACGCGTTGTATGGACACAATAAAATGAAGCCTATAAACTAATAAAACAAAGTGCAGAAGACAGTTTTTTTGCAAGTTAGGCACCTCACTTGCAGCTCGAAGGGTAACTGATAGATTTAAAGAAGAACGCAGGAGGTTAGCACCACAGAACTTTTTTTTCTTCCGTTGTTGGCTCGTAGGCACAAAGTAAAAGTAACACATTTAAATTACTTCAGTAAATGTCAAAACAATCTGTAAATTAAATAACCAAATATATTGTATATATTGACCCTTTTTAACTTTTTTGTGTGTGTGTTACGTGATAACTCCAACAATTGTGAACCGATTTCGGAGGTTCTTTTTTGTTGGAAAGGGGTACCTCAGTAGTGGTCAAATTCAAATTTGTAGAAAATATCCCACCTGGATCCATGCCTGACAACTCAGCAGTTAAATGAGCCTTATATCACTTTTTAAATATTAAGTCTCGTTTGCGCTGAAGTCTTAAATTAGAAAACTGAAATAGTACAGCGCCAACAACTGACCTGTGTGTACGTCTCCCTCCGTATATTCCAAAAATATTCTGTATTTATTGTAATAAAGATAATATCTCTAACAACAGGGGCTGTTCCATTCGGTGGTGTGGGAGAAATAGCAAAACATCTAATTACAAAACAAACGGAATCACATTTCGTTGATAATTAAATATTAAATATGTAATTTTTCAATTTTTGTCAATTACAGCAAAGCTGAAGTTAAACTGGTCGATTTGAAGTGAAACAAATAGACGACACCATGGCGACACCCGTCAATTATTACGAATTCGGGCTGCCCAATCAGACCGCAGTTGTCACAGTAACGATTTGACAGAATAGTTTTCAACAAATTTAATGACATTTCATCTCTATTTCTGGTTATATAATCGGTGCCCACCTCTTACGTGTGACGTTATTCACTCACTTTTCAAAACTTCACCAATTTCAAAAAAAATCGCAAATAGATTTCACAAATTTTTGTGGTCTGTTTTTTTAAATAAAAAAGCTATGTCATTTATCCACTTTTTCAAAACATCTCAGTATAACTCTTTTCATAAACCTTAGCCCTGTGTACATAATATAATTTTGATGGTATATACTAAGCAACTGAAGTAGAAAGGTGATAGGGTTTTCTATATATAAAGACCTATTACACCCACGACAGTATTTATTTGCTGTATAAGTGTATGAACAAGATTTAAGACGTAAGACCTCAGTATTCCTTGCTTGTAATGACCAGCTACGTATTGAAACATAAGGAATAATCAATAAACTGTGGTACCATTTACAATCAAGAGGTCTATTTGCCGCATTATATGTATAAAAGTACCATGACCAAACATACGTGTAAAAACAAAGCAGAATAGTATTTTATGCAATCATTGCATGATGAAGGTTTTTCGAGTGGCCTAAGTAATAGGTACGAGATTTTAAGACCTAATTATGTATTTATTGCATACAACATTTTTTCTACGAAACATTTAAAATAATAAAACACAACCGATATTTATGGATTATTTGTTAACAATCCACAACAACAAATCAAACGAAAGCTAAATACTTGCCGGAATACCGGTTATATTTTAACCAATCTCCTGATTGGTAGCAGCAGTAGAGCGTTTGAGAAGCGTCATATTTGACATTTTATTTAGCAAAAATACTACGCTGTCTTTTACCGACTTCAAAAAAGGAGGAGGTTGTCAATACGACTGTATTTTTTTGTACGTATGTTGCTCCGGTAATTGTGAACCGATTTTGGTTTTTTTATTTTTTTGTTGGAAAGAGGGTATTTCTACATTTGTCTCATTTAAAAAACTAAGTACGCATTTGATCTCCATCTCACCTGATGAAAAGTGACGATGAGGTTGACGATATAGCATGCACACCTAAATAATACCTATCTTTCGCCTTGAAAATCCAACTATGGCAAAAAAAAGTGGCAAACTAGGCAAAACTTGGCAATACATGTAATGCAACGAATTTTTCAGGTCGGCTTCTTTATAATTTTGAAATTCATTATAGTTCTGTGTATAAAACATAACAGTCATTATAGTTTGTGTACAGAACTATAATGACATTTTTCAGTGCAGTGCCAAGTACCTTATACAATAGTATTTTGATTATGAAATTATAATAGATTAGTAGTAGAATAGTATTTTAGTACCACATAACTCCATAAAAGTAGTAAGCGGAGATTATGGGCTTACAATGTACATGATATTATCGTGCAAACACAATAAAAAAACAAAAAATAACTAAAAAAAACAACAATGGAATTCAAGCCGCTCCAAAATACTTATATTTGGTACCAATTGTTTTATTTATGATATTAAATGACGGAAAGAACAAGTCGTGCACCTATAGAGCTAGCATGAGGGCGCGACTAGCGCGACAGCGACATAAAGCGCGAGATACTGCTATTCATAGAGTATATCGCGCTTTGTGTCGTTCGCGCAAATTACGCCTTGTCGTGCCCTTCTGGTGGCAAGCGACACTCCTGTCCATAACAGTTGGAGAGCCACTCAGAGGTTTAAATCACAAAGATCTGAGGGGCACTGCCACTGTGCCCGTCACCCTGAGACATAAGTTGACAACTCCCATGAATATATCTGAAATTTCACGAGCATCACGGCTGGTTTTTAAATGGCGCGTACGGAAAAAAGTCTAGTAAAAATCTCTTCAATACTGATATTCTGATTAATGATGATATAGATATTCGCTTTACGTAGATACTGGAAAATGAACGTGATATATCAATTAAAGTAGAGAAAAGGTTGTGTAAGTTTGTTTTTTATTTAACACGTTTTATGCGTGACTTGAGTTGTATTTCAAAACTTTACCTATCGATTCAAATACAAAATAATAACATAAGAATTAATTTGACCGTGTTGCTTTTTCTATGTATTCCATTTGAGAAAAGGAAAATTTTATTATGTATACGTTTCGCAGAAAATGGTTACATAACAAATTCATATAACTGGGGTACATGTAGCTGTTTTCTATAGAAGTATGTATGTATCTCACGTATGTTTAATGCTTTTTTATATAGGTACTCAATGTGTTTGTATTATCCGTGGTCGAGTGGCTTGCATACCACATTTTCCACAGGTTTTCATGGTGTTGCCATCTTTGAGGTTCCAGGTGCGATTTCCGGTCGGGTCAAAGTAAAAAAAAAATATTTCTTTGGGATCGGAGCCAACGTATGTGATGTCCAATATTTATTTATTTTTATGTTAAAATAGTACCTTTTTTATAATTAGAAAACATAACATACGTTGTTCCGATTCCAAAATAAGTAGCTTTGTTCAGTTAACTTAGTTAAGTAAGTAACTTGTGTTATAGAAATGGGAAACGACAACAGTACCACAAACACAATATAGAAAAGTTAGTTTTCTATACTGACCCGGCCAGGGATCGAGCCCAGGACCTCAGAGATGGCGGCACCATGAAAACTAGTGTACAAGCCACTCGACCACGGAAGCCGACAAAAAAAAAGTATTAGATTGAAGGTTTGCTTCTATCGCTACAACACTCGTCTAAATTACTTTCTTTGTGCTCAAATTTCTTTTAAACATAGCAATTGTAATGTCGAAATGGTAAAGTCGAGATAAAAGACATAAATAATGTTTCTTGGATGTATTAATTGACTTTCACAGTCGTACTTACTGATAATATAACAGAGCATAACCTTATTTACAATTTGTTAAAAATATGTCAGTTGTCAAAAAGTTACAAACAATATTATAATTTAGTAGCAGCACAGCTCCTGGTGAAAGAGTTCATTAAGGGAAGTACTGCCACCTATGTGGTTGTCTATATGTGTGTCCATGGCACCCGCGATACAGGGTTTCCCTAGTGCGGGGCTATGTTGAGTGTGTACGTTAGTATTATTACCTTGCCTATTTCTGCCGCAAACAGTAATGTGAGCATTACTGCGTTCCGGTTTTGAAGGGTAAGGGTGCTGGTAAAATTACCGGTACATGAGACTTGTCAACTAATGTGTAAATGTCTCAGGGTGACGTGCCCAGTGGCAGTGCCCCTCAGATATTTGCGATTTAACGCTGAATTGGCACTGCAACATCATCATTTATCAATCATTTACCACTAGGTGCACCACTTGTTCGTCCCGTCACTTGGTGATATAATAAATAGAATCACAAGCTCTACTTATAAAATCTAAAAGTAAAGTTTGTTCTATTCGTCTAATATCAAAACTCTACCATATCTTTTATATAGCTATAACCTTTATTTTTCTGCTTCAATTCTGAATTTAACTATACTTGGTTTTTGTTATTTCATCTTGTTTTAACATGTCGTTGTCTTTCTATCTTTGTACATTTTGTATGACCTTTCCTATTCTTGGTAAAAAAATATATAAAAGCTTTCTTCTTATTATTTTACTAGAGAGTTCAGAATTCAGGTCTAAATCGAAACAAAATATAATAATAATGTATGGGAATAATTTAGCGAACTTGAACTTTTGTAGAGCGTAGATGTAATGTATGTAAAAGAGATACGAGTAGGCCGGGATATTGTTCAATGTAGGCATATACGACCACACTTCTACTTTCATTTAGGAAAGCGTACACCAACCCACTTGTAGCGTTATTTGTAAAAATTGTTATTGGAAGACCGATTACAACATTCTTAAGCTTCTTATAAAAGAGAATAATAATAAAGAGAGAGAATAATAAAGAGAGAGAATAATAAAGAGAATAGGAAATTGTAATAGGTGAAGGTGATGATTACGCGGGGATTTTCGAGACATAATGTAAATTTTGAGCTTGAAAGTAGGAAATCGAGGCCCAATACCGCAAGGTGGAGCCTATTACGCGTAATATTTTGCAGATGGCCGACGTCCAACGGCTACCGCAGTTCTGATGCTTGACTAATAGATGTTTCGTTTGGAAAGGTGAGGCGCAGATGACGTACTGGTTCACCAGGTACAAGTACAGATTCACCGAGATCGACTACAGCTTATTCCTCACATACTCCGTCCTTGTTGGAAGCGTTGGTAAGTTGGAATTTTTAACAAAATATTACATTACAACAATAATGGGAAATTTGATATCGACTCATGACCGCCAACTTATTGCAAATGGAAATTTAAAATTATAAAGGACGATGATGCGTCGACATTTCCCGCCAAGATTATATCAAATAAAAATTATAGCAAAAGCAAGTTTATCGTCAGAGTTATTTTTATACTTTAGTGCAACCGACAGAATCAATATTCAAAAATCATAACGTAAGCGACCCCACTAGTTATCGCTACTGACATAGTACATCACTATTTCGTCGTTTACTATAAACAGTGATAAAAAACGTGTTGCACCCATCGATATAGGAAAAAAGGTTTGCACCTAGTTGTATATTTCTAATCGCAAATGTCACCTTAATCGCCTGAACGCCTCAAAAATCTTTAGATAGAGATAGCAAAGTTATTGGAAGCGCCAAAAAATGCTTTGACATCCAAAATTATAACTGACACACAATTGGTTACGAATTCATTAATATTTATATTAAAATTCCATTTGGTATCGTATTTATATGTAGAAATATTTTTTTAAATCTCTTTCCTGTAAAATTTGTTTTTTGTCTTTTACACTAAGTAAGTCGGCGGCCATGACTCGATATGATGCTGCTACCAGAAAACGCTGCAGACTACTCAACTAAACTACTTACAGTAAAACTATAGTATTTTGGCTCGTTAAACTGGTCTTGGCGAGTTATTAGTTTACTAGAAATTCTAAAACTAGTTATTAGTTTATTAGAAATTCTTCTATATGTCTCTTTAAATCCTGGTATTGAGCTTTTTCAGCTTACGACGCCGTTCAATTTAAATGTTATAGTTTTCTTTTGGTTACCTACTTACATTACATATTGTAATGAAGACATTTTCAATGCTCATTTAAAATTTGTCATTATTCAGATGAAATAATTTCCATTCAACAACTGCCCCCGTGGACAAACGGTTACCTAAATATTGTAATGAAGACATTTTCAATGCTCATTTAAAATTTGCCATTTGCATTATTCAGATAAAATCATTTCCATCCAACAACTGCCTCCGTGGCCAAACGGTTCGCATACTGGCCTGCCACACAGAGGTCCTGGGTTCGATTCCCGGGCCAGGAGAAATATTTGTACGACCTACACTTATTTCTCTCGTGAGTTTGAGTGTCATTAGTGGTTGTCTATATGTGTGTCCATGGCACCCGCGATACAGGGTTTCCCTATTGCGAGGCTATGAGTGTGTACGTTATTTTTTGTTATCTTAGAACTTACGCGACTATACACATAAGTATGTTTAATTTTTTTCAGTTTGAAAGAAATGTTATTTTAATTTGATGTGTGAATTGATTCTATTTCTGATGCAGTTACGTACGTCAATGTACAGTAAGCAATTTATGGACTAAATTGGTAATAATAAAATAATACACAAACACCTTTAAATACTTCTAATGAATGTTTTGTAACAAACTTAAATTTTGTTTCGGCTACCCACATTCAAACGACTGTACTGCAACTGTTGTTGCTGTTACAGTTTTCCGCATTGCATAATCATACGACTACAAGGGAAATTATGTAATACCTTTACAAAGCGGCTCAATAATAATGAACATCGGGTAAAAGATACAACAATATAGATCCACTTTGATACAGAATATCGCTATGGATTTTGTAGGCAGATAATAGATGTCCCTCAGTCTTGAATACACGAAAATAAAGTAAACAATTTGGCATTGCCGGAACATTGAGAAATAATAGTGATTTTAGTAGCAGTAGAGCTGCTTGTAAAAGAGCTGTTCATCCTGGGGGCCTACCACAACCTCTTAAAACAATATTTCTTTAACCTTACATTGACTTTTCGTACAATAATGCGCTTAAAGTAAGCGTATTGTAATGTTAAACTATGATGTTTTATTGGCAGCTTTGTGACTATTCAATCAGTTCGTACTATAACGCGACTTTAACATTATAGTACTATTACTCTTATATCAAATTTAGCAATCTTATAATGTGCTTGCGTCGTGTCTTTGTACTTGGTCTTTCAACGACTTTTTAGTTGTAGCGCCATCTATGAGAAATCTTTAACATATTTATCACCCAGTTAGTACCTTTACAACTACCAGTCCTGGCGAGAGATGTCGCTATTCACTGTATTAATTAAATTTTTATTGAATTGATATTCAATTATTTTTTTGTGAAATTACTCCACTAGTTTGTTATAATTATTAATACAAAGATCGAACACTCAGAAAAAATTCCTTCGATCCGGTCCGGTTTCGAACCGACGTCTTCTAGCTTACCGTGTCAGACGCTGTACCAACTAAAACACGGAACTTACTAGCGGACCTCACATATTTTTCTGTGCTTGAGTCGTATCTTTGTATTTGGTTTTTACAACGACTTTTTAGTCGTAACGCCATCTATGAGAAATCTATGAAAGTTTTATCACCAGTTAGATGTCTAGTTTGATAGTTAGTCTACGATAAGACGGTTCGGAACATCAATAAAGAAAGAAATGGCATTATATATGTCACATAGCGTTATCTCTCCTATTCTAAATAAGGAGTAGACAATATTAAGAAATAATTCGTTCTTTCAATCACTTTTGCAATAATACATTACTTGGTTGACAGATTCGTTATAGTCCGAATATGAGTAATATTATAATAAGCTTACTTTAAGCTTACATTGAAATAAGATTGTTTTTGGAAAGGTTATGATAGGCCCCCGGGGAAATACTACCACCTTATCTATTTCTGCCTCCAAGCAGTAATATCAGAATTACTGTGTTCCGGTTTTGAATGATAAGGGTGCTGGTGAAATCACAGGCACATGGGACTTGTCAACTATGTCTCAGGGTGACGGGAGCAGTGGCGGTGCGCCTCAGATCTTTGTAATTTATTGAGCTAAGTGGCACTGCAACTGTTATGGACAGGCCTGTAGCTTACCATCAGGCGCACGACTTGTTCTTCCCGTCCCTTGATATTATAAAAAAAGTATGTATGTAAGAGGAAAATGGTGACTTTTTACGTTTAAAGTTACAGCCCGGTCTTTTATGCCTCAGTGGCCGAACGGTTACCATGCCGGATAACCACACAGAGGTCCCAGGTTCGATTCACGGGCCGGGAGAACGATTTGTATGGCCTACATTTACTTCTCTCGTGAGTTTGGGTGTAATTTGTGGTTATCTATGTGTGTGTCCATGGCACCCGCGAGGGTTTCCCTAGTGAGGGGTTAGGTTGAGTGTGTGCGTTATTTAAAAAAAAAATATATTTTTTTTAACTATTGATTTTAGATTCTCCCATCTCCCTAGGCCTACAAGATTAGTTTTGAATTTTTAAATGGGAGAGGCGATATTCCGCGGCAATGGCACAGTCAGCCGGGGTCTGGGACTCAGGTTCAAAAAACAATACGCGCTGTATCGAGCAGGACCGCCTTCTGCATTTGTGCTGGTAACGACACGCCACAGAAAACCAAACGCCTCAAGCTGTTAGCAAGGATGACTGGAATTAACCCATTGGCGGACAAAACAATTGGGATTATTTCAGTGGACTATTATTGCAACAATGCAGTGCACAATGCAATTTACTCTCATTTGGGATGCATGGTTACATAAACATTGTAATAACAAATGTTTTTTTAATCGTTTTTTTCTGAAGCGATTTACTTACACTCTAAGTTGACTAAACATAAAATTGCTAAAACGTAAATAGCTTCAACAGTTTTTGACATCTTTTTTGCAATATCGTAGCTATCAATCCGATCGAGAGCCGAAGATAGTTTCTTTGTAAAGAAGATGTTGTGCAAATGCCTAAAAAATTTAGCTTTGATTCCATTACAAAACTAAAAAAAATTAGAGATGATGAAAAGTTTTTTAATTAACCATTGAGATGCCACAATATGATTTGTAACCATCAATTGTTTTTCTTTACGTAACTATAACATGAAATGTAAGTGTTGAGATGTCAGTTAATTGTTACAGTATATTATAACAAAGCAAGCGTAATCTTTGGGGAAATATTTTCAGTGTTATTTATCATATGAGCAAATATTATAAACGGAAATGGATTTTCTAGCTATTCTTAAGTACACAAATACGACAAAGATACAATGACATTATCTAACGTATTTTTTATAAAATATCAAATTACAGGACGAACAAGCTTAGCGCCTGGTGGGAAACTACAGGCTTGTCCATAATAGTTGCAGTACTACTCAGAGCTTTAAATTACAATAATCTTAGGGGCTATGTCACTGCGCCTGTTGCCCTAAGACTTAAGTGTGCCTGTAATTTCACCAGCACTCTCACCCTTCAAAACCGGAAGGAAGAACTGCTCATGTTACTACTTGATGGTGATTTATTTTTAAATACCAAGTGCCAGGACGAACAAGTCATATGCAAATATCTTAGGGGCAGTGCTACTATGCCCGTCACCCTGAGACGTAAGTTGACAAGTCCCATATGCCTGTAATTTCACATTAGCACCCATACCCTTCCATACCGGAACGCAGTAATGTTCGCGTTACTCACATCACGTTACTTATTTGCCGGTACAAATAGGTAAGATAGGTAATTTAGGTACTACAATGGACGAACTCTTTCACAAGGGGCTCTACTGCTACTAGCACACACAGGCTGTAGTAGCCTTAGTTTTAATTACTTTTTTCACGATCTCTATGGTCGAGTGGCTGACACACCGGTTTTCATGGTGGTTTACGTAAATGTTAATACAACAATTTGTGATGTGGTTTGTTGTGAACGGGATTCCTAGCAAAAGTAAATACTTGCGTAACTGGAATGTCGGATGCGGTATTCCCTGAACGAACTCCTTCACAAAGATCTCTACTACTTAATTAAATAGTTCGGTTATCGATTTATGCCACCATGTTGGAATTTTATTTATTTAAAAAAACGCCAGGTCCTCTGCCATGTAGGTAAGTTATCAAAAGCTTCGGATACCCTACTTTTTAACCTAAACGATATCATAAACCGAAAGTAATACAATAAATTATTAAAACAAGAGGAAAATTACCGCCACAATATTTGATTTCTGATATAAATTTCCATATTTCATTCGCAAAGGCTAAAAGTAAACAGACTTTGTTTGGATGCGGGTTTAGTTTTATTAACTAAAATATTTCAAATGTTTTGCTTTGTTAAACTTATATTTATTTGTTTACCCCTTATTTAAAATTATGTACGCCATATTAATCAGTTTTTGAAATTATAAAACTAAATTAATTCCTCGCTTTTTCAAATTTAAACTTATTTGTGTAGTTTAATCGCCATTTCCCGGAAATTATTTTTTTAGTTTAGTGTCGGTATTGGATTTAACTTACGGTACGAATTCAATTGAACCACTGCCACTTTAACAAGTTTTCGTTTATTGAGATCTTTTAGTCTACCGTTCACCGATAGCATGTAAAACGAGTAAAAAAAAATTAATTTAATAATAATAGATATTGTTAAAAAAACGTATTATAGCTCATTAAGAGAGTAAATAACCATAATTTGTATTAATGAATTTATGAATATTTTGTACAAAAATAACCGACGCCAAAAGTTTGTAGAACTATATATATATTTGCGAAGTTTTATTGAATCAGTTAACGAAAAGTAGGTTCGGTTCAATAAACCGGAATCATCCCCTAATTTGCACCCTTAGAGGTGAAATATTTACTTCAAATTTGAATGGGAGTTACCCCCTGTCCAACAAAAAACAATAATCGAAATCGCTTTACAAGTGTAGGAGTAAGCCCGTAACATACACGCAAAAAAGCACAGTCGAAATGAGAAGCTCTTCCTTTTTCATGAAGTCGGTTAAAAAATAATATTTAAGTATAGTTTTATCTTGGTGCCTCTCATCACTACTCAACTAAGTTTGAGATAGGTTTTATGAAATCTTTTGTAAATATTACATCGACTTAATGATGTTTAAATACACATTATGACAAAAGATTAAGTAAAAATATAGCATTCTATTAGATCACATATCTATTAATTTAATTTAGCATACATTAGTTCTACACAGTAACGGTATAATATATAGCTAATCATATTTACTCACAACATCATTTCCTGTCTGAAACTTGACTACGGAGTTACAAATATAGGTCTTAGATAAATACAGATAAATATGCGCCAAAGATATTAGAGACAGGAAAGGTAGTGTACTGAGATAAGAGTGACTCATGACAAAATTCACACAAAATCTTGATCGACAAACAATTAAAGACATTTACAAACATCCTATGAAATACCGCAAAAACTAGTTTCGTAACATTATTTAAATTAGTGTAAGATTTGAAAATATTTATTTTCAACTTAGTGATATTCCGATAGCATTAAATGACTTAATTTGCAAATTTGAAGCACCTTTTTAAGCGACTTAATAAAAGGAGGAGATTCTCATTTTGACGCGATAACTCTGACATTTGTGAACCGATTTTGATGATTCTTTGTTTTGTCTTTTGTTTTGTTGGACAGAGGGTACCTCAGTAGTGGTTCTATTTAAATGTGAATAAAAATATTTCACCTCTAAGGGTGGGAAACAAGGGGATGAATGTCTTTTGAGGTGGGTTTTTTAGTACTCTGTGCTGACATTATCTCATTTTACTCTTGACACTATAATAATAATAGTAATCTAACAATGTTCTGATATATTGAACAATACCTATTAATTTTCATTTTTGCATTTATTTTGAAATCTTTACCTACTAAAGTAATTGAGTATACCTGTTTTGTCTTATGCCTATCTTTCTTACGTCTGTACCGTACGAGGCCTAAATGGGAACCTAGTGCTCCATAACACAGGGTAATACAGACACCAGACTTGCACAAACGAAACTATCCTTGGTAGCAGTAGAACTCCTTGTGAAAGAGTTCGTCCAGTGAAGTACTGCCTTACTTACCTTACCTATTTCTGCCGCCAAGCAGTAGTGTGAGCATTACTGCGTTCCGATTTCGAAGGGTAAGGACTTGTCAACTTCTGTCTCAGGCTGTCGATCGCCGTGGCAGTGCTCCACAAATCTTTGTGATTTAAAACTCTGAGTGGTAGTTCGTCCCGTCACTAATTGATATTATATTTTAAAAAAACCGAATCCTTGTTGAAGTCACTTGTCAGAGATCAAAAGTGATCGACTTAGCTCACTAAATCAGTAAGTTTATGCGGCAGTATGTCGGACACATCTGCGAGGAGCGTTAATGATCGATAAACCATACTTGTTCTGAAATGGCGACCACGTCAAAGAAAACGTAGTGTAGGACGTACGACCTGAGAAAGGTGGCCGGCAATGGCTGGATGCGGGCCGCCAAACAAAACGTGCTCAAGGGGAGGCTTATGTCCAACAGTGGATGCGTGTAAGCGATGATGAATTTTCGAGATATTGGCACCAAATTTTTTTTTCTTTGAAAAATATTAATTACGCTGATTTTGCTGAAAACTGAAAGTAAATAAAATATAAAATCGCTTATGGGGGGTTATAGATCTCACGTCGCTGATTTCAGTATGAGTTTGTGCGCGTAATTATGCGCGCTTTACTGGTTAAATGCCTTAATTTTTAAGCTTTGTAGTACTTGGTACTTGGTGTAACGGACTGTTGTTCGCAACTCGACGTCAAGGCGCCTATTTTGCGTAAGCTTTGTAGTATTGACGATCTAAAGATGTGGCTAAGCTTCCCAAAAATACCACTCATGTCAAACGAATTTTCTTGTCGGCTTCCTTTTCGAAGTGCTTGCCAAGCTGAATATTTTGGCCAAGGTAGACGTAATTATGCACACCCTCAAGAGTAGCCCCAACTACGGTTACAGTCACACGTGTGTTGAACATAATTTTCGATTTGTCCACGTTCATCCCGAGATCTAACTCTCACTCAACTAACTAACTTTCGATATAGGTATAGCCCATATCAAAGTTACCAAAATACAAATGCGTTAGTTATGACAAGGAAGTCAGATTAGTTTATCCTTTTCATGGTCACGTGATTTTATTTCCTAGGTACATGTACAATCTTAATATGCTGTAGCTAATATCTACGTCGAAATCATGACCGTTACTACAACTTATTTATCTTTTACACAGGTTCCTTCATAACAATATATCTGTTCACCAAAAGATGGAAAGTGGAGGACAGTATTATCGGCGTGGTTGCTTGCCTGAGCAGAATAGCTGCGTGTGTGGTGTACGCCATGGCGCCGAACCGCACCGTCTACTACCTCGGTCCTCTACTGGATATGTTTAGTTCCGCTGGAGCGACGTCTTTGAGATCTATTGCAACGAAACTTGTTAATGCGGATGAAATTGGTAAGTTGCACTAATAGTATATATATATTTTTTTTTTCAAGAAACATTTCTTTTTAAAATACCAAGTGATGGGAGGAACAAGTCGTGCGGCAGGTGGTAAGCTTATCCATAACAGTAGTAATGCCATTCAGAGCTTTAAATCACAAAGATCTTATGGGCACTGCCACTGCACCCGTCACCCTGAGACTTAAGTTGACAAGTACCATGTGCCTGAAATTTCATCAACACCTTTACCCTTCTAAGCTGGAACGCAGCAATGCGCACATTACTGCTTGGCGGCAGAAATAGGTAAACAGATAAAATAAAAATATAAATTAAAAGATAAAAATAGATAAGTAGGTGGCAGTACTTCCCTAGACGAACTCTTTCACAAGAAGCTCTACTGTTACTAAATAAATAAATATTAGACAACATCACATAAGTTGCTCTAATCCCAACGTAATCAACTAAAGCACCTGTGTTATGGAAATCGGAAACAACGACAGTACCACACACACCCAAACCAGAGATAATATAGAATAAGTTAGTTTTTCTACACTGACCCGACCGGGAATCGAACCCGGGACTTCAGAGATGGAAACCGGTGTGCAAGCCGCTCGACCCCGAGGTCGTCACAACATAAGAGTAAAGTTGATGGATCGAGTTTGTTACTTAATCACTCCGAAAGGGATAAATGGATTTCATGTAGATGGTGATTTATTGATTTTGACCACGTAAATTTATAGACGTACGTCGCCACGGCCGATAGCCACAAAAATGTGTATATTAGTAAAAACCGACAGCAATATGTATAAGAAAAAGCAATTGTGGCAAACAAGAAAGTAAAAAGACTTAAGAATTTACTTAGTATCACTTAATCATTAAAATATAATAAATATTAACAATAAAATAATAATAATAAATATTACAATTATTAAAGTGACATCCCTAGTCAGCCGTCTGGTAGCTGTGAAGTTACCTGACTGAGTGAAAATAATTTCCATAGATTACTCAAACATAATGCAACGGCAAAAAAGTCGTTAAAAATTTATTACAAATCAAGGATATTTTCTTAGTGTTCTATCTTTGTATTAATAATATAATGGGAACTATAGCCCTATCACGTACAAGGGGTATCCAGCTGAATAAAACTAGCAACTGCGTTACACATATTGTATTGAAATAAAGTACGTCTTTCCGAATCGCAGTGCCAGATGCGCGCGCGGCCAGAATTTCGTCTTTCGCGAGACCGCGCGCCCCTTGCAGGCCCGGGGTTGGACTTATTTAGCCCGCGCTTGATCGATAGTTCAATCAAATAATAACAAACTAGCTGAGTAATTTCACAGAAATAATTGAATACCATGATAGTAAAATATCGTAATATTCAATAAACTTGATATAGGTGACAATGTTGTGTCATAGTAAAATGTCAATCGTAGGCATCTCATCTACTGAAAAATGTAATAATTAGCATCGCTATAGGCTCTCTGATCCACTCCTCCTAAAAGTGTATACGGACCTTATATACGTTTACTCGTATTGCGGACTTAGTTTTAAAACAAAAACATTGCTATTTTCAAATGTAATAATAACTTTACGTTTCCCGTGTGTCGTGCTACGTAATATTATGATAAGACGTGACGTCTGCGGTGTTTGTTCTCCGTAAGGTATATTATCTTGCTGACAAGGCAATACATTTGAGTTCAGCAACTTCAAGTGCACCTTATACTTGATACATTATTTATATTTTTGCATAGCATTAGATCTGTGTCGAGAATTCTCTGTAGTGTATGGAAACATTTCTTTTTGTATGTATTATGCTAATATAATGTTATTTAAATATTTATATAATTCGCGTGAGATGGTTCTGTTTCACAATAGAAATGACATTGTTTTGGTATTTTGTTCTGTTTTTATAATGATCTTTGCAGGTCGCATTCAAATCGTAGGATAACATGGATGTAACGCGCTTTTTTGCATATTTGTCTCAAGAACTTGTTTCAAATTGATAATGACGCCATAAATTACGCGTTAAATAGAAACGTAAACAGCTTCGACTGCTCACGTGCATTGAAATTATATATTTTACTTATTAGCAGGTACATAACAATATTATGTAAGAACGTAACAAAAACTATCCAAAAGGATTTGTTTAGTATATTATATATTGTATAGATATTGATGTAAACGATCTCAAAGCAAAAAAAACGTCATGAGAGTTTAATCAATTTCATTTGGCCAGCCGAAGAGCATTAATTGAGCAACATACCGTAAAGTCGGAGAGGGCTATTTTTTATCCCAACCGAAAAATTTTAGCACCCTTTATCGCGGGTATTTAATGGACACATACGTACATAAACACAAATTACATCTAAACTCACGAGTATAATAAATGTGGGCCATACAAATATTTCTCCCTGCCCGGGAATCGAACCCGGGACCTCTGCGTGGCAGTCCAGCACGGTAATCGTTCGGCCACGAAGACAGGTAAATTATTGTTTGAAGTTACTGTACTACTTTTTTAATTAAAAATAAGTACCTCAAGTTTACAATAAGTACCTCTATCTCACTTGTTGGAAAGTGACGATGAGGTCGTCTGTAGGCAGGGGATTCCACTCCATTGCCGTTTGCCGTATAAATGGTATTTGCGAATCCGTAGAATGTCCACAACATGGTAGTGGAACCCCAGTCTACGTCTAGTCACTCGATGATAGAAAGAGCAAGGCGGAATTAAATTGTGCAATGTCCTCGTAGACGGAGTCGTGATATGTCTTGTAGAATACCGATAAGCAGGCAACTTTAAAGCAGTATTCAAAGCTCCGCTGCTTCACCTCTACAAATTTCCAGTCACCTATAAGCCTCTTGGCACGCTGTTCAATTGAATTCAAGGTGGCCAGTTGGTATTTAGCAAAACCATCCCAAGGGTGGCAGCAGTACTACACTACCGGACTTGAGCTTAGTACATTTTCCTTTTATTTTGGGTATTCTGGGTAATAACACTAGAATTCTCTAATTTGAGACCAAATAATTGGTGATGTTGTCTAACAAATTACTATTATTATTAACGACTTGGTGAATAAGTATTGACTAAAACAGTTTCCTTGAGATAAAGAATGGCGTTTACAAAGATGATAAGAAATGGGTTCCATTGACGATACCTTGTTTATTTTGATGTTGTTATCTTTTATTTACTGCATTTTAATTTGACTGCGCAGAAGGTTAGGCAATGTGGAGGAATTGTTCTCATAAAATATAATTTCAAAGTAAATATTTGATATGAGCATTTGAAAATACATATTTTAAGAAATTAAACATAATATCAAAGTAAACGCGAAATATGTGTATTCCTATGAAGATTATCATATCATATAAGAAGTTAATAATAATATTAACTTCTTATATCTAATATGTAATAAGTATCTAATATAGTCATAAGTATAAACTTATGAAACGCACATAAGAAATTGAAGACGATTAAGTTTTAGAATGGTCGTTTTCTGACTCCACTGGATCTATATGAAATTATTGTGATTGCCGCAAATCAAGGGACTTGCAAACTACAGTAAAATTAATATTCAAATCCTTTTGTTTCATTTACTAATAATCATTTAATCTACTAGTACACGATATCAATAGAAACGATTTTATTTAATGTATTACTTACCCTTGGTATACAATAAAGCCACATATGATCATACGTCAAACGTGCTTTTATCAAATGAAAGGCATTAATACGAACTACACAAAATAAATTATGTATGTTAAGTAAAATTAATAAATAAAACTCTTCTATTTAAGCATAAAAAGTTATGAACTAATTTCGTTTCTAAAATCTTTAAACCTCTCCTTGAAAAGTTGTTAGTTTGCAGATGTGGCTTTATGACACAAACCGTGCAATTTTTTTTAAATACCTAGTGCCGGTACTAGTCGTACGCCTGGTGTTAAGCCACCCATAACAGTTGCACTGCCACTTAGAGTTTTTAATCGCAAAGATCTTAGGGGCACTGCCACTGTGCCCGTCGCCTTGTGACATAAGTTGACAAGTCCCATGTGCCTGTAATTTCACCAGCACCCTTACCCTTCCAAATCGGAACGCAATAATGCTCACATTACTGCTTGGCGATAGAAATTGGTAAGGTGGCAGTACTTCCCTGGGCGAACCCTTTCACAAAGAGCTCTGCTGAACTGCTGTTGAAACATTTTTAGTGCTTGGCTATTGATAGCCATAATTAAAAAAAAATTATAAAAAATTATTAAAAAAAATAAGATAAAACGAACAATTGAAGACTCTTCTATTAATACAATTCATTAACGAATCTAAAATCTCTCAAAGCCTGAAAACTAAAGTTTATAACCAATGCGTCCTGCCCATACTTACTTACGGTGCCGAGACATGGCCGCTCACAAAGGAATACTTGCACAAAATCAGAGTAGCACAACGGACAATGGCGCGCACCATGCTCGGCATTTCCCTCATCGACTGCATACCCAACTTGGAGATACGACAGCGAACAAGGGCCGTAGACGTCGGTAGCGGATCGCGAGCCTATGGGCAGGACACGTTGCTAGGCGGGACGACGACCCCATCGGTCCAACCAAGGCGGTTACTGAGTGGTACCCGGTAGGAGCGAGACGTCCCCGAAGCATACTACCTGCTAGATGGTTGGACGATATCGTCGGGGTGGCCGGAAGGCTGAGCTGGCGTGCAAAAGGGGAGGAGTATACTCAGCAGTGGGTGTTAACGGGCTGAGATGATGATGATGATGATGAACGAATCTGGTACCTAGGTGGGTTCGAATCCTGGCTCAAGACGCTACAGAAAGCTTCCGTAGGCTGAGCTCAATAGCAGAGTGTTAAAATGATTCTCACATATCATGGCGCAGTCTTCTCTTTGCATTAAACTCTATTACTTATCACCGTGTTCTTTCTTATCTTCATATACATATCTTCTTTCACTCAACAAATTAATCCGTGTCTTGGTCTTCTTTTCCCTTAAAGCTAAGTGTGTGTAAATGTCATCGGCAAGTAGTCTTACAGGACTTTGGAAGTCTCGCTGTTTCACATTACAGATTAAGAATGATCAAAAATTATAAATATTACTTTCTTTTCATACAACAAATTTATCTTTTCCTGCCCTTCTCTACCCGCAAAGCCAAGTATATATCTTAGGCAAATAGTCTTACGTGTACTTTGGAAATTACACTAAATCCTTGTACATAAATGTTGGATTTATTGTGAGAAATTAGATAATATTTATCATGTCTAGTCATACTTATTTTTAATATGAATGACCGAGAATAACTAACTACAGTCGGATCATGGAAATTTTCCATATTAAAAAGTCTTTTTTTAAAGAATTTTTCCATTATTTATTTTTTAAATATTTCCATTTATTCTTACAATATTTTTCCGAAAATTACCACCATATAAATATTTTCGAGCAATTACCCAACACTACTCCTAACAAAACTTATAGTAGGAACTTCAAAAGGATCCGAATCTAGACTATTCTAAAATAGGTAAAATTTAAAATAAATAAACAATATTGTTTTTATTTAATAAGTTGTAAACATATATTAAAGTTGTTTTGAAAACGTTGGTTACAAATAGTTTCTAACTAGTTTAAAGAGGAAAACCATTCTATACATGATTAGACGATTACGAATTATAGCCTGGCTAAATTGTTATTTGTTTCATGTCATTGAAATTTGTTTGTAAATAAATCATTTATGTAAGTGTCAAATAGGAATTAAACACTAGAAGTTATTGCGCGATATTGGGTAAGAATATATGTATTGACGCCTATAAAATATGTGTCATACATAATGTCTATTGTGTTTTTTACCGAGATACCTCCTGATCGCCGAATTTTTCCTATTCTCCTTAGCACAAACCTTCGGATTTTGAAAACAAAAACCAGAAATCTCTATCAGGAGGTATCGTTAGGGAGGACTTCAGTAATATCCGCTCATTGTCTGCCACTGCATGAGTACTAGGCACATAAAGATATTCGTATGCCTACGTGGGTTAAAATGCAAAATGTATTTGGTTTTATTTTATACAAGATGACACGAATGTGAGCGCATCACCAAACAAATAACAAATAAATACTTATACTGTAATATTTTGTTATTTTTTGTTAATAGCATTTACAAATATTTATAAATCCTTCAAAATAATATAATGTTTGAATAGTTTTATTAGAGATTTGAATATTATCTTTTTGTGTAGGTTAATTTTTGTTTCTTGTTTCATCGAGATCTTATTTGTAGTTTAAATGTGGGATAGAGCTAGTAATACATAGCTCTATCTATTGAAATATAGCCCACTCTGTGTATTTTTGCAGTACCCTAACAAGGTCACAAAGGTCTAATTTAAGCGTGTTCACCTGCTAGATTATATATTTTTGAAAATGCAATAAATATTGAGTATTAAATATCAAATAATAGTCTCGGATTCAATTCCCACCGGAAGGCCTGCTGTGACTATACGATTGTCACTGGGTGAAACATAAAAACCTCTCACCACTTGATTTCATCATCCCTCAAGAGCAACTACCACCTGCGATCTGTGGTGGCCTGTGTGGAAGTCCTTGAATCGACCTTTAAGGTTCAGGGATGATAGTCTATCCAGATATGACTGCAGTGCCCCAACAAAGTCTATGCAGCACTTGCTCGTGTGCCCCCCGTGGCTTACCTGTATGAGGGAAGGTCTCTATGCGGCCACGGATTACGCAGTCAAGGTAGCAACATACTATTAAAATTCAATATAGTCCTATAATAAAAGAAACACCGACACGGTAAAAAAAGAATATTATTCAATTCAATATTCTGATTGGTTATACAGTGAAAATAACATATGTAGGTTTATGTGGAAAATAACAAGCATACTTAGAGTTCTCAGAAGAATACAGAGAACAAATGCCGGGAAAAATTCTCGGAATGGAAATGTGTGTGATAAAAATGCAACAAAACACACTCGTGCCCTAATACCTGTACGAGGGAAGATTTCTACGCGGCCACTGATAGCGTAGTCAAGATGGCAACAGACTATTCAAAGTAAATGTAGTCCGAAAACAAAAGAAGCGTCGACACGGTAAGAAGCCTGCAGTATTACATGTAGCTGTGTAGTTTATGAATCACTTGTTTTAACAATAGAGAAAAATGTAATAACACCTGCATATGAATGAAGAAGTGTCATGTAATGTTTCGAAAACGTGTATAGCCGCCAACCCACATCGGGCCGACGTGATTGACTATAGCCCAAACCTTCTCCTAATAGTAGATTTGTACCTAGCAATGGGAAAATGAGTTGATATTATGATACGAAAATACATCGTATACAAAAATTATTTATTGCTCTAAAATAAACACAGATAATCTATGACAAGGTTGTTTTTGATGAGCGGGAGTCGTCATTCTCGATAATTCTACATTTTCCATTGTTTTAAATCTTACCCTTGTATGCTTTTTCGGCCATAGCAACTTTCGTCTCAACTTTTGTAAAAATTGAACTAGGTGCCAGAGATCGGCAAAATACTGTTAAGTTAAGAGTGTTTGTTACCTTTCTTCTCCCTCCTTTTAACTGCCTCTGTGGCCGAACGGTTACCATGCTGAACTGCCACGCAGAGATCCCGGATTCGATTCCCGGGCCAAGAGAAATATTATAACCTACATTTACTTCTCTCGTGTGTTTGAATATATTTTGCAGTTGTCTATTTGTTTGTGTCCTTGGCACCCGTGATACAGGGTTTCCCTAGTGCGGGGCTATGAGTGTGTGCGTTATTATTGTTATTATTATATTATTTCGTTGGCAAGCTACAAAGGACACACTAGCGTAAATGACATCACTTCATGCATAGTACCTAATTTCTAAAAATAATTTACAGCTTGGTTACTACATAGCGCCACCGTTATCACATGAATGTAATAAACATAAAATTTTAACTAAGACGCTATGTACAGGTAGATATGAGCTACTTACAATGAGAAACCATCCACATAAAATAAGGACAATTTCCCTCTCTGAGAATACTACGGCAACTTTATTTTTTGGTCATTTTCTGATATTTTTGTAAACGACCATAAGTATTTATTTGCTAATAGGCATTATGCTTTTCAAATTTTGTGAAAAAAAAATAAACAAAAACAAAATTCGAAAAAACAACGAATTTTGTGAAAACAAAATAAAAACAGAATAGGTACAAAAATTAAGTTGGCGTAGTGTACATTGGAGGTATCGCTCTGTGATCCAAACATCATAATCACCATAAGGCCAGTTATAGTCTGACGAAAGTAAACTGCGTCACGTCACTCTTGAACAGAATGCGCGGAAGATGTAGTGTCATTCTGAAAGCGATGGCTGATAGGCTTGATTGCCCGATAATGTGCATAAACTCGCATAGAGGCCAATTTCATTGTAAGCCAAATTCTCAAGCATTGAACTAAATTTATTATTATTATTATATAGATGCAACTACGACTTAAACTTCACTCCCATCCCAACCATTCAGAATGTTCTCTGACCACTTAACTAAACATCGCTTATCGACAACGTGCAATTTAAAGTAACCTTTTTTTTACAGCTTTTGCAAAAAGTTTAAGTTGACTAATTCTTATACTAATTGCGTAAAGAATTTAGCTCCCGTACGAATGAATTATGATTTGGACGTAGAGCCCCAAATATTTCGAGAAACTTTAATAAAATGATCTTACGACACGAAAAAGCCATGCACAGCAAAAAATGTATCCATGGTATAATAAAGCCACATAGGTGGCTTTATTACACACAAGTCGTAAAATTAACACGAACCACATGGAGCAAATTATGTCCATGTAAAATTTTATAACTCTCCGTTATTCCTATTTTATTTGCGTTCCGTAACGTACATTACAGATGTTTTTATTACTTAATATTGAAATCAAATTATGGACCCTGAACAGAGCACAGCAAATAGTAGAAGATAGGACAACTCTGATAATTGTTACACTTTCTTAATCAGCTATGTTTAGTTCCTGTAGTGCATTAAACAAAGCGATGTGTAATATCGTTCGTAGAATCTGTAAACATTTCTACTGAAAAGTTGTTATTTTACAGATGTGGCCTTATTAAAGGTGCAAAATTATGATAGGCGTGTGTGGTGAACTTTGAAAAATTATACGCAACACCTACGCCGACAAAACAAAGTAACTTTGGCTGGATGAGAGCATGTGAAACCCGAAACATATTTGCATACTTATGAACATTGGAAAAGTTCCTGATGATGACTTGAATAAACAAGGGCAGAGCAAAAGTATAACGACTACGTTTGTTTAGGTCTTTATTATGTTTATATTAGATCTGATTGTTTCGCTAAATAGATCAGGCGTATTTGAGGTCCAGTAGCTTTAAACACGAAAAAAAGATTTCTGTGTCGCCTCCTATTCCATTTTTGCCGACAAATGTTAAAATACTCTTAATTTTTCATTTGTGGCTTATTACCCAATTCACGAGTCATCACTCAGCAGAAGTTTTTGTTACTTAATCTAATACGGCTGATTTTATCATTAGTTTTACGTTCAAACTCGAGAGGGCTATGGCCGCTTGGCCTCTACCTAGTAACGATGTCAATGCACAATTTGACTGTCATTTCATCTCGCTGCAATCAACCGAATCTGTTCGCTTACTAGACTGTCACTTATTTTTTCACTGTCATTTGTTTACAGGTAAAACAAGCTCTCTAATCAGCATATCGGAAGCATTGGTTCCCGTGATATACTCCCCCGTGTATAGTAAGGTCTATATGGCAACAATGACTACTTTTACCGGCGCCTTCTACCTCATAAGTGTGGCGTTGGCTATACCTGCTATTGGTATTTTAACGTAAGTATTCACTTGTATTTTTAAAGTATGTACTTCCTCTAAACTTTCGGTCTCCTAGTACTTGGAAGGTTAACTTTTTTTGTGTCAACAACAGCTGTTGTGTTTAGCTGATTTTTGGCGTGCCTCTACATTAGCGTAGTACAGCTAAAGTAGCTTGTTGTTTTGTTTTCTCCTGTAATGTTTTGACCTCTTGGTAGAATTGCTATTATACAAACGTATTATTCTTAGTTTGTAACGCACAAATTACAAGCTACGAAACATTTTTGTTCTGTAGAAATTTAGATACGAGTTTCTCTTAACCCGTTCATGGGCAGTAGCGGCGTTTACCTTAAAATTAAATATTAGAATATGATAATACAGGCTACCCACTTTTGTAGACGTTACATTAACACAGTGCGGTGGACACCAACGTATTTATATAAGGAGAGATACAACTACTTGTCAGTGCCATTTAACTTTCTAACAGCAAAAGTAAGTTTTATTTAACCAATTTTTTTTCTCTAATATGCATGTATGTCTTTAGTAATTCAATATGACGCAAAGGCAATCATTCTACTACATGTACTACGCCCATAGCCATACTTGCTTTTGTACAAGAATATTGACGAAATCAGCAGTCAGTGAAAAAGCGTAATTATTATATTGAATCAATTCTAACATTCTGTCTAATGATGCTAGGGAATTAAGTGTATATATTATAATTTATTTATTCTTTTAGATCTTATTTATTATTATTATTATTTAGGTAGATAATTAACTTACTTTTCACGGTGCATTGGTTCCTAACTACTGTAATACCATGTAAATATATTTACAATAAAAAACTGACCTCAAAAGTTCGTGGAATTACATCCATTACATTTAACTGCCTCCGTGGCCGAACGGTTACCATACCGGACTGCCACGCAGAGGTCCCCGGGTTCGATTCCCGGGTCGGAAGAAATATTTGTATGGCCTACATTTATTTCTCTCGTGAGTTTGGGTGTAATTTGTGGTTGTCTATGTGTGTGTCCATGGCACCCGCGACACACGGTTTCGCTAGTGCGGGGCTATGTTGAGTGTGTGCGTTATTATTATTATTATTTGCCAAGTATTATTGAAATCGGTTACCGGAAAGTGCGCGAAACCGGTTTTATCCTCTAGTTTACCACCCTTAGAAGTAGAATATATTCTTCAAATTTAAATGGAACCGATACTGAGGTATCCCCTTTCCAACAAAAAAAGAATCATCAAACTCGGTTCACAAATGCGAGTGACAAAAATATACAGTTGCATTGTGAACCTCCTCCTATTTTTGAAATCAGCTAATAAATAAATAAAATAAATAAATATAAGCACTCACACTCACACGGCGTCCATGAGCGGGTTAAGTTATTGTAACACATAGGTACTTTATAATATTATATTAAGTACTCGTAAAATTCATAGTATAAGCAAAAAGTAAAATTGATTTATTCTTAATAAACTCATTCGGTCGTCTCATTCAAAAGTTAGAAACAGCAAAACTGCATATTTCCACGTTGCACAAGTTACTGGCGTATCATTTCGACACTGGAGCAAAAAAAGACCTTGCTCTCAATAAAACGCCCTTACTGTAATTTTGTCATCGACTATTAGAAATAGATTTCTAATAGCCTAATAATAGGAACCTTGAACTGTTAATTTCTATTTCTGTTTGTCTTATAGAGTACCTAATATGACCTTACTTCTTGCCCTACGTTCAAGAAAGTTATAGTAAATTGCGAGTGATATTGAGTAACTGTTAGTTGCGTGTTTTTGCGAGTGTTTTTATCCAAATAGTTTTACAAAAAGTCAAAAGTATATTTTATAATAATACCATGGAGTAACTATAAAGTGTTTTATTTGCTTTATCATTTACTCCATGGTAATACTTTAGGAAATAAATAAATATTAAACATCACATACGTTGCGTCACATAAATAGCTAAAGTACTTGTGTTATGGAAATCGGAATCAACGACGGTATCACAAACACCCAGGCCCGAGACAAAAAAAGTTAGTTTCATTACACTAACCTGGCCGGGGATCGCACCTGGGACCTCAGAGCATGCTACTCGACCACGGAGGCCGATAAAATGAACTTTCTTTGAGGTTGGATGCTTTATGTGGTGCTTTTGTTTGTAATAATGTTAATTTAACTTTACTGGTACCCAATCATATTATTGTAGTGTTGTCGAATCAGAATTTCCTTAATAAAGCCATAAGTTTGTGATCATAAGTCAAACTTTTATTACCTACATAAAAGTTATAAAAATAATACGAAGTACTTGAAATAAAATTATAATTATATACATATGAGAAATTTTATAATACCAACTAATTTCGTTCGTCTGCAATCTCCTAAAAATTACTCATTTTGCTTATGGGGCCTTTTACTTCGTAAGTGCCACATACTTTGTAAGTGCTTCAAAAAACGATAAAGGAGACAAACATTATTTTGAATTTGAATAAGTATAACTTTTTTAGGAAATGAAACTATTTTTCCGGATTTAAATCCGAAAAAATAGTTTCATTTCCTATGTGTAACAATCGCGAAAACCTAAGAACTCGATATAACTTTTTTATAAAAAAAAACCGACCTCAAATGTCTGTGTAAAGTTCTAGATCAGTAACTCACCGTTGAAGACGGTATTGCCTTTGACCCCAGACTGGCCTTTTTGAACGAATAGAACAAAGAAAATGTCTTAATTTTTCAGCGTAAATGCACAGCAAAAGCCTGATCTTTATTGTTTTGTTATTCCTACCTACTAACGAAAGGACGCAATGGAAACTACATCCATAACATCACATAACTTAACAGATGTACATACCTATGTAAATTTATTTCTGTTTTTTTGTTTCCAGTTTACTATTTGTTCTACACAAAAAGGAAGGCAACGAAAAACCAGGGACGCCCGAGATGAAGCCCAGGGATAACGAAGTAACTCGTTTTTGACAGATATTTATTATTGTTAAGTTTTATTAATGTTGCCTATTATTGTAATTATTATGTACAGAAAAATCTCAATAAACAAAAGGTTTATAATAACCCCTGTTTAATTCAATATTAACCATAGTCCATCAGTAGGAAAATGTACGTTATATGTAGATAGCCCCATGCCCCATCCAATAGTTGATCTCTTTGTGAACAAGTTACGCCTTACCTACTTCTGTCTCAAAGTGTAATGTGAGCACTGCATTCCGGTATTAAAGTGTAAGTAAGGGCTTTTTATTTCTTTTCTGTGACGGGACTACGGGATGTAAGAGTCGATACTTCCCATTTACTACCTCAGCTTGAATTAAAATTTTTCCTGTAATGAATTGGTTCTATTGTGCGAGTATTTTTACAAACGAAATTAAAGCCATTTGAAAAATGTGTATCTCATACTTTACGTGGTCTTTTTAGTTCGGTTGCTATAAAAAAAATCATTGGTATATGTAAAGTACTTGTTGAATGCAGCGGTTTTCTTGTAAAATTTCGAGATAAGTTTGTTTTTTTTCTATCGTGAATATTTTTAGGAATCGTGTTTTCACACCGTATACTAGAGAGTATACCCTCAATTTTACTATATATTTTTTCCAAATTGATTGATTCAATTTTTTCACTGTTATGCGGAATCAACCGAAGCCATTTGAGGTTGTATCGAGTCTTAGGTTTTCTCAATTGCTACAATTTGGAAAGGAAACTATTTTTTGGGTCTAAATAGCTTATATTTTTTTTTTCAAACAAACCACAACGTTTCTGGCTCTGTACAGATCCCATGGTCAGGGCGCATTTTTCTCTAATTACTTTACTTTGGATAACTTCATGTAATAATATAACCTCTGCTCTACGATAAGGTCGGTATTGCCCAGTTATTTATAATTAATTGTAAGTCATTGTTGTTATTTACGTATCTATACGTGGTGGCCCTTATTGTACAGTCTGCACAGCTGACGATCATGGTTATTATAAAACCCGACGTCGACGTTCCTATTCTTCTCGTAGCCGGAGCCAACATTATGTTTTTAATGTTTTTGACCAGAAAGTAGCTTAGCGAAAGCAGCGCTATGAGACACACGTGTGCAATTATCAAATTGGTAAATAAAACCCATCCTCACTGCTTATGTACCTACGCCTACGTAACAATTTTGCACCTTTTCACGGATGATTTTTATTGCTTTTTTACAGTCCTTACATTTATATTAAAAACGATTTATGAATGGTGATTTTGTTACAACCTGTAGACAGTAATCACAAAAATGAATGAAAACATACTTAACAACATTGTTTTAATTATCTAAAATACAAACAAATATTAAGTTAATCAGCACTTATGGCCTCTGGTGTTTGTAACTTTAATTACAAGCCACACAGATTTATTTCTATGATTGTGCTTTTAAACACAACTAAATTTGTTATCGATTTTTAGCAAATTAAGGGAGACAATTAGCAGTAATAGTAGTAGTTTTAGTAGCAGTAGAGTTCTTTGTGAAAGCAGTAGAGTTCGTCTAGGGAAGTAACTGGCATTATAAATAGAAAAACTAAAAAACGTCCAAAAATCATTTGACTGTTTGTCCGTAACTTGCACAACTAAGTTACTTCACAGAAAAACACTAATGATAAAGATAGATTATTATTATATATACCTACCTACATAATGGGAATATTAATTACCTATTAAACATTGGCATTATCATGTGAGAAACTGTGCTAAACTATCAGAACGACTGTTGACCCCGTTCAGTGCGATTATTATATTTATTTGGATACAAACCTGAGATGACAACAATATTTTGAAGAAAATTACTTTGAATTCATTAATTTGTTTGCGAATTTCCGATAATAGTAGTTAGCTAAGTTCAACCATTTGCCGTTTACCTAATTTATCAACGGTAGTTAGTTAGCTAAGTAATTGTCTTTTACTTAAGTTATCAACAGTGAAAATTATGGCAAATATTCAGGGTGTTATAGTTAAATGCGCCTAGGCGATAATCCATTAATCCGTTTAAGAGTTAGCAAAAACCTTTAAGCTGATGTCGAAAAAGTAAAATTGTCGTTGTCATCATAGCTTTTTTAAAAGATAAAACTAGAAATACTCAAAATTTTAACGAAAAATGCTCCATACATTTAATATGGCATTCATAGAGGATTTCATTGCCTTACGTATTTCTGCTGCCAAGCAGTAACGTGAGCATTACTATGTTTCGGTTTTGAAGGGTGAGGGTGCTGGTGAAATTACAGGCACATGGGACTTGTCAACCTATGTGTCACCTAGGTCACAAAGTATCATAAATAAAGGTAAATTATTATATAAAAAGACAAGCTTTGAGCAGTATGGCTGGAGTGACTCGGATGGATAAATTACGGAACAGTGTGATAAGAAAGCGTTGCGGCATGGAAGAAGATATAGTGACAAAGATAGAGAAAGGGATGCTTAGATGGTTCGGACATGGAGAGAGAATGAATGAAAGAAGAGTGACGAAACAGATTTATAAGGCGAGTGTGAGCGGGCAAGTTGGTATGGGCCGACCAAGGAGAACTTAACATGATCAAATTGAGGCCATCCTAAAGAAGGGCCAGGTCAAGAGTACCCTTAAACGACGAGCGTGTATGAAAGCATTGATGCGTGTTAATGAGGCGAAAGATGTGTGTCAGGACTGTAGCAAGTGGAAAACTGTTGTCTCTGCCTACCCCGATGGGAAAAGGCGTGAAGTATATGTATATATGTATGTCATACAATCGCTAATTCACTAAGAGTCAGAGAAGTGCCCAGTCAGTGCTTTCCTTGACGAAACCGCAATCGTATTAAAAAACGCTAAGTGAAATAAGTATCTATTTATAGTAGGTACTGTTAATGCACTTGAAACCAAATAAGTACTGCCGTAACTCAAAAATTGGTGGCACAAACCACACATCTTTCTTCCGTGATAGGTGGAATTGAGAAGACCCAATTTTAAAGTTTAAAAAATCTAAATGCATCTTATTGCAAATGTGATTATTTTTATTTATAATATATGTATTTATAATACATATATTATATTTTTATTTATAATACATATATTATAAATAAAAAAACGTCTTGTAAAAAAAGGGCTGGGATTCCACCCCTTTGTTGTGGATATTCCCAGATTTCGCACGAAGTGTTTTGCTTCCACATTTATATGGCGAGCGGCTAGAGAGTGGAATTCCCTCGATGCGGACTTGTTCCACGAACGCTGTAACTTGGACCTTTTCAAGGCGAGAGTGAATAGGCATTTTGTAAGTGTGCATGCTACATCATCGACCACATCATCACTTTCCATCAGGTGAGGTGGAGGTCAAATGCGCACTTATTTTTTATTAAAAAAAAAACAATATTTAATGGTTCATTTACAAAAGGAGAATATAAATTTATTGGTTTCATTCCATTTTCATTCAGTAATTGTTTGAGCTTTCAAATCGTATTTTCTTAATTCCTCAATTTTGAGTTAGGACAGTACCTATTTGGTTCCATGTGCGATAAATACCTACGTACGTATTAATACCTCCAATGAACACTACGCCAACTTAATGTTTTGGTCATTTTAATTTAAACAGCCCTTTTTTATTTACTAATGTTATTCTCCCCAAATTTTGTGAAAAAAATAAAGAAACGGAAAACAAAACTCGAAAAAAAAAACAAAAAATGATTTTGTGAAAAATAAAGAAACAAAATAAAAACGGATAACCACAAAATTAAATTGGCGAAGCGTTCATTGGAGGTATCGGTATAAAGTAATGACAGAAATAGATGTAAAAACGAAGATGCAGGAAATTTTTTTGCTATTTCCATAGTGCATACACTCCAGTGACCGGTGACTCAGGAAAATGTTACAAAATGGCCCCATGTAATGGATTAGTATTAGGTAATGGACCTATATTGGAATTATACTAGACACCCTTGTCTGGTGTGGTTCCGGTGCCGCTGTCTCTGCTGCTAGGTAATTTAAGGTTTATTGATTGATATAACATTAAAACATACAATAATATTTTTCTATCTTATTTATTTTGAGGTCTACGTACATTTTACTATAATTATAATTAATATTGACCCAAATCACTATCACCGCGTTTATACTATTTACTGATATGTTAGATCCATGTTTGCGCACCGAAGTGATACTTTATAGTATAGTTATTAAAATAATATACTTACTTTAGTTTTCCAATTATTATTATATATAGTCCATT